TGGCCTTAATATGCTCGGGATCGCCGAGTTGTACCACGGGATAGCATTTATGCCAAGCGTGGTACCGTAAAATTTTAAATTTAGGACTATCTAATGAATACAAAGAAAAAAATTCGGAAATTGGTAAGTTTTTGAAATTATTCTTCGGCCTACACTTTCTGGAACCTACCGAAGTAGGTGATTTTTTCGCATTCCAAATATTAGATAAATTACCCAATGATGAGAAAGTAATACAATTTTGCGACTACATATTAGACAATTATGTGTCAGAAGAAGCTAGCTTTCCTCCGAAAATTTGGGCATGTACCACCAATAGCATGTACAGGTCTACGAACGCTTGTGAGTAGTTTCATTCGGTACTGAAAAACAGTTTTTATTCTCCTCACCCAAATATATTTCTTTTCACAGACATGCTAATAAATATACAAAGTGAGACGTTCACTAAAATTAAGATTGCCAGTGAATCAGAAAATAATAAAAAACTGAAGTCTGTTACAAGAAAGAAATTCGATTATATAACATTAAAAATTAATGAATTTAAAGAAAACAAAATTAATAAATTTGATTTTGTAAAGTCTTTAAGTTTTTACTATTTGCCGCAGTAGAGCATTTAAATGTGTATGTATAAGTAGATTATGTGTAGATATTTTATATTTTACTATAATTTTGTATCTAATTTATAATAAAATTGTTAATGGTTATTGTCGGGCTTTATTTTTTAAGTCGTTAAGCCTCATTAGAAAATTCGGTGGTACAACTCGGTAGTAGGATTAGACCTACCTGCTATCCCGTGGTACAACTCGGCGATCCCGATTGAGGTAAAGTGTCCTTATTCCGCCCGAGAACACACGGTTGAGGAAGCTGTAAAAAACAATTTAATCAAATATTTAACTATAAATAATTCTGGAGATATTACGTTAAAATCAAATCACAATTATATGTTTCAAATTCAAGGTCAACTTCATATAAGCAAACGACAGCGTTGCTATTTTATTGTTTTCACAAATAAAGATTTATTTTGTGAAATAATAGATAAAGATGATAACTTTTGGAACATGAAAATGATTGGTGCCTTGGAAAAGTTTTATTTTAATGCTTTATTACCAGAAATTATTGATCCTAGGTTGAAACGAAACCGATCTATTAGAAATATTTTGGTTAAAGACTTGTAGGGCCCACATATTCAGCATTTTTTTTGTTCATAGATTGATTGTAGTAATACTATGTAAACTGTATGTATTATGCTGTACTATATACTGTACTATATACTATACTATACGCTATATTTATATAATGTTATAATATATGCTATATGTACTATATATATATGTATACGTATACTTACATATGTGAAAACATAATGCTACTGCATACATTTATGAACCTAACAAATGCTTTTATGGCAACTAGCAGTTCGTGTTTCATACAAAACAAAAACCCAAAAAAATAAAATAAAAATAAAAATAAAAACCCAAAAAAAAAAGTAGTTTGTTTTTGTTTCATTGCATCCTACTGTGGATTAGGTCTACTGGAGATACCACATTAAAAAAACGCGTTTAATACTCTACCCCTTGGGTGACGTGGAAAAGAGTTGAAATTAAAGTTAATATTTTTTTTTTATTTTGATTTCGGTTGACATATGAATTTGAAAATATCAAATTTAGTAACCGAATATTTTAAAAAAATCGTGAAAATATAAGTATGAGCAGAATAAAAAATCAAGTATGTAGCAACACTAAATTAAATATTTGCAATTTTAAAATTTAACATCTTAACTGTAGGTAATCGGATTATCGGATTTGGGTCGTAAAATTGAAGACGAAACCAACCCCTCATAAATCATTCTCGGACTGTATAACAAGTTGCCTAAAACTGATAATTTAGTGTTCTGAAACGTTGAATTTTTAAACACATTCAACCTAATTATTAACAAATGACAAGGAAAATCAAAAAAAGGGCTTCGTCGCGCGTTCGAAAAGAGTCAGCTCTTTCCATTGGTACAAAAATTGCATACAAAAAGTTAAAAATGTAGCCTGAAAATGGATTATACGATTTCAACATTTTCATTAATTAAGCGAAAACAAAAGCATTTTTCAAAAAAAGGGCTTCGTCGCGCATTACAACTAAATGGGTAGGGTGCGACCCCCCTTTCAAATTTTAAAATACGCCCTGAAAACGTCGCGGCGAATCGGGCATTTTACGCATATTTTCAGAGTACTGAACTCTAGCCTTAAGCAGTATAATTTGTGTTTAATTTGGTGTTCATTTAAAAAATTGACAGTTGGCGGTAAAAATTGTACATGCGCACTTTTGACAAAAGACTAAATAATGCAGCGCTTTTATCGGACCTCTCTCTTTGATATGTACGCAACTATCTCATTGCTGGGATAGGCAGAGTATGGGAACTCGTGGCTACTGGCTCCACCTGTTTCGAGCGTCCATGAAACACCACTGCGCATGTTTTGCTATAGATGGCAGTGTATGAAAATGGCCTAGTAAAGTCCCCGTCAAGTTAGTATGTTATCTATGTAAAGTCCATAGGTCCTATTGGTCCGTTCCGCCCTTTAAGGCCGGATTCGCGTTTTTATCTGTATGAACACCCGTATGAAACAGACTTAACGACTTCCTTCATATTTTCTGTCGTTTTTGAGTTTTTGGTTATTTTATGCCATTTATGGTTTAACTTCGGACATTTGTGTCTTTATTGTATTTTTACGTGCGTTTTGTGAGTTGAATAATGCTATCGAAATTCGTTACAGTTAGTTATCCTTATTATTGTTTATTAATAGGTACCGTTCTAATAGGTAGTAATGAATTATTTAAAATGGCCCATGACAAGTATCAAAGAATACCTAAATTAAAAAAAAATATACCTTGTGAATTAGACCATTGTAGAATATACCTATTTAGCTATAGAAGGTTGTTATTTCTTTTATTTTTTCTACTTCAAATCTACAATTTCATAATAAATTTAGAGGAATTCTTTTTAACTGACCTACTCATTTTACACTAACTACATTTATAAAGTAAAATGTTTATTTCAGTTAAAAAGGTTTCCCTCTAAATTTATTATGAAATTCTTATTTAAAATGTAATAATTGTGTACACAAGATTTTTAAATTTTGGCGCCAATTGCAGAACACTGTAAGTATAATTAGTATTCTGCATTTAATGTATAGACGCGCGTCACAGGTGTCGTTAGTAAAAAAATTGAGTTTCCCATCTATAGTGTAGGTTATCTGTGGGGATAGGGAGTGAGCAGTATACAGGTTGTTCCATTTTTTTATCGCAACATAGGTTATATAGGCCATGGGTGTGATAAAGACAACTTCCATTAGACACTTACAAAGGAAAAAGAAAGAGTGACATTTGTGTCATTGCAACTTTTCACTCTGACAACTGTTATTTTATTAATCTTTCTTTGTTCCACTCATAGAAATTACCATGTTGCAATCGGAAATTGAGCAAACGATATATTTATATATGTATATGGTTAAACAAAAGAGACAAAGTCGGCCATTTTGGATAACCAATTTGTGACTGACAGTTTGTTTTTGTTTTGACGTTTTGATATTTGAATACGCGAATTTATTTTATTTGTAAGAGTGTTACCAATAATGTAGAAAAAAATAGACAATTTAAGGGTCAATAATGTTATATATTGTTAATAAAATTCTAAATGTATGATCGTTTTTCATTTCCATTAATCTAGTAAACCTCCTACATTCGACCTCAAAAATTATTTGAATTTTTTTGTTATCAACTTTAGTGAGGGATTTATCGAGGGAGAATCTTACAAAATTGGGATGTTTATAGAGGGCAAAGGATCTTCTACAAAATCTTTGGGGGGCATCTTAGAAGAGCAAGCAATTAGAGCGGTTATACAGGGTGTTTCCTAAACATGCGGCAAAAATTCAGGGGGTTGTTCCTTGGACTATTTTAAGAATGTTTTGTCCTTTGATGATTTTTGAAAAACCTCTTTGTTTCGAAGATACAGGGGAAACAAAATTTTAGATAATAACATTTTATTATGAAAAATTACATGAAAATTTAACTTAACCTACAAAAACTGTTGAAAATGACCACCTCTAGCCAGCATACAAGCATCCAATCTTCTCCTCATCCCCTTGTTTCTCCTCAGTTTAATCTGTATTCCTTTACCATCTGAACTTATCAATTTTAAGTCAAAAAACTGGCCGTTTTTAGTAATTGGAATGTTGTTAAACAAATTTAAAAATAAATTGTACCTACTTAGTAAACACAGTGCGGTACGCATTTTTATTTAAATTATTATTAATTTTAAAAATATGAAAAATGTTGTTCGCCCTGTATCTTCGAAACAAAGAGGTTTTTCAAAAATCATCAAAGGACAAAACATTCTTAAAATAGTCCAAGGAACAACCCCCTGAATTTTTGCCGCATGTTTAGGAAACACCCTGTAAAACAATTTTAGAGCGGCTTAGAACCGGTTTTAAAAGAGCAATTTTGAGGCAGTTCAAAGGAGGTTTTAAAGGGATTTGTGAAGAACAATTAGACAATATCTCAAAAACTTCAGGAGCTCTAAAAAATATAAAAATAAAATTTGAAATTTCAACACCCTGTAGATCGGTAATGAAACATTTGTGGACCTATTTTTAAAAGAACATTTAGTCATGAAATAAGACAAAGAATTACCCCCTTATTGTGGGATTGTATTATTACCTAATATAATACTCTCGTAAAAAATATAAATCACATAATTATGTATTTACAGAATACAACAAACAATCTTTCAATAAGGATTTAATAAAGAAAAAATACTAATTAAATATTTTATTATAAACTGAACATGAAAAAATTAAAACCACTTTTAACTGATCAAAAGAACGTATTGGTATTATTTTAAAATTAGAAGAAACAACAGAGATTGTATTTAATAATCGAACCCATGTAAGTAATAATAAATGTCATGAAATAATATTACATTGTAACAATAGCGATATACTCTATTTGAATCTCTGCTTAAGTAATCTTTCTTTGGCTCAAGTATAAGTAAACCGTTTACTTTATCTAAATTACTTGTTCCTCTTACTGGATATGCAGTTGCCACTCCAGTCGAAGTCATATTTACTTTAACTAATTTGTACTCTGGACAATCATCTCTATTACATGACGGATGCTGAAAAATGAAATTTATTGTAATATTATATTCTATACTTTGTTTGCTATCAAGAAATAATTAAAAAAAATAATAAAGCAGTAAATTATAGGTGCACTAACAAATAAATACAGCCTAGTAACAAGTACTTTTATATAATTTATAAAATTGGTACTGTTTTGGAATTCTTTGATTTTTTTCATTAAATCGCGCCTGATGTATTTTCCATATTAATTACTTACTTATTTTCATAATTTCAAATTATATAGCTTCCTTTTTTTAAACAAAACGTATTTCAAATATAAGAACTATTTCACTGTTAACAAAATGTTCACTTACATATGATAAATTCATTGGTGGTATAGAAATAGGTACAAAACCTTCGAAGGGAGATTTTTCCATTAAGCGTAGAGCAGGAATAACGAATAATATACAAGTTATTGCACAGGAAGATTGATTACCCGTTAGGCCAAATACGATTTTCAATGTTTCATTATACATAAGTGTCGCAAAGGTCGTGTATTTTCTATAACACAATCATAATCATTTAATCATTGAAATCTTTCAAGTTACGAAACTTTGACTTACCCGGGTTCCATCTTTATCCTGCAAAAATGTATAGTAGCTTGAAAATCCTCAACAAGGACCCGTTTCAACATGTCCAATTCTCCCATTGAACTGTTCGTTATAATAACATCGTTACAAGTAAAACTTTGTTCAAGAGCTTGCTTTATTGCTTCAGGACTAAAAATTATTGCATTCAAAAAAGATCAAATACATCAGGATTAATTATTACTTGTCTTTAGCTATGCCACAATCGTTTGCTTCATAATGGACATTTTTAAGCAAATTAATTAAGGTGAATCTATTTGCATCTCTGATTTTGCCAGGGGCTAGTTTTTCTTTAGGTTCACAAATATAATTGCCAATTGATATGACTCCTATAGAAGGGCGTCTAGAAAAAAATGTAAAACAGTAAAGGAGGGAACTTTTAGGAAACTGAATATTTACTTATACTTATAAGAACTTATGAACTTACTTATAAACCAAAATATTTGTTTTTCCTAACATGGCTAAAACTCCAAGAGAGAAATGTTTGATACGTTCGCCTTTTTTTAAAACCAAAGAATTCTTCGATACGTCGCTTCCGATTATTCTAAAAAAATTACTAAATATGCCAACATTGTATTTAAAAATGTTTGCTTACCTTATGTTTTCATCGTAGTATGGTTTTCTTTTGATTTCCACCTTAATTACTTCAGAACCATCAATCGAATATTCAACTACTGATGTATCTTCCAATGGTACCACTGCGTCTGCTCCCGCAGGAATTGGATCTCCCATCGATATTCTTATCGCTTCGCCTGACTGCAGAACTTCATCGATCGACTGCAACATTAGAAACTATATTTATTACAATTCTAATGAGCTCATTCTTTAGAAATCTCTTAAATGTATCTACACACCTTATCTCCTGCAGTTGCGACATTCTTCACAACACGTATTCCTTTGCCGTCACTCCTTTTAACAGCGTAACCATCTAAAATCGAAGTTGCAAATGAAGGAATCGATTCTTCAGCATGAAAATCTTCTGCTGCAATTCGATTAGGCGATCTCTCCAAAGGCACCGTTTCTGTGGTTTCCTCTTCATCAGAACAAATATCCTTAATAATAGCAGAAGCAACTTCAACATCGATAATAGGGTAGCGGTATTTTCTTAATGGAGCCAGTTTCACCTACGAAAATAAAGACAAATTGAGTCTTCGAATTGAGTAATAGTACCTTCGCTGATGTCGAAGCTGTTAATTTTATAAATTACCTTACTAAGGCTGGTGGTTGGGACAACGGATGCTCCTGAGTCGCTTTGCATGGCTCCGTGACCAGAAACCACAGATTTTTTTTGTTCTGTTAGGAGCTCCAAAGCGCGGTGTAAGGCTTCCTTGATGATACCGAAGCATTCCGAAACCATTTCAGGGCTTCCCGGCAGATTTACTATCATCGTGTTGTCTCTAATACCGCTCAAGGGTCTGGAGAGCATCGCAATTGGATTAATCTTCAAGCTACTGATGATCATAGCAAAGATCATGTCTGGTAGATTGCCTGTTGTGAATATTACGTTAATTTTCAAGTCGAACCATTCTGTTAGAGTCGATTTAATTTCCTGCAAATCGTCTGGTACGATTTTTATTGCGCTTATTTCGGCCGATGGAAACTCCTTTAATATTTCTTCTTTTAATTTAGGACTTGATGAATCATTGCCTTTACCCGCATAACTGCTGTCGCTGACTGTAATGGAGAGTTAATTTGAATCAAAGAAATGTAAAATGAGTTGCCTACTTACCAGTAAGTATTCCGAAGCTTATCTGACCAGGCATAATAAAAGTTCTATAAAATATTAAGAATAGATGTAATATGAGTAAAAAAATGAGGGAGCGGTCTACCCAATTTTCTTTTATACAAAAGTACAACAGCAAGATTTTGAAAATTGACCCAACATTAAGCTAGAGAAAAAAAATGTTATTGTTATTATTTGTAGAATAGCATGTGGGTAATTCAATTTATACAAAATTAGGGAAGTACCAGTATTTATTTAAACTTAAATATACCTAGCTATCTTTATTAAACAAACGAAAAGATTTTATAAGTACAGGGTGTCCCAATGAAAAGTTTTCTCAAAAATGATTTTCTCAAAAATGTTTTAGTTTTGTTACAGTGATACAGGAATTATGCATTACCAATACAGGGTGTTGTATACAAATTTCCTCTTTTAAATTCACAGTTACTAAATATATTATTAAAATTATTATTATTATAAAAAAATTGAATTCCTTCTTTTAGTCTTTGGATAGTTCCGAAGTGTCTTCCAATTATAGTTAAAGTGAATTAAAATAATCATTTATTTCGGTATATAAAAGACAATTGTATATACATACTAAATATTATTTAAATCGGATAAATAGTTTCCAATGTACAGATAGTTTTATCTCGGCGTAGGACACCATGTATACTTGGGCGACGAAATATACAGGGTGGCACATTTAGTATGGAAAAACACAATATATCTGTTATTGTAGAAGATACCAAAAAAAACTTTATTGCAAAAGTAGATCTTTTTAAGCTGCATATTTTAAAATTAGTTACATTTAAACATAGTGTCCCTTTTTTTTACTTAAAATTTAAATTTTAAACCCTGTATAAATAAACGAAATAAATTTACTGTATTTTAACTATTTAACACCTAAATAAACTTATAAATTATGTAATAATTATACAGACCTTTGTTATTTTTCCGGTGATTCAATTAACGCAACTGAAATAATAATAATCTCAGTGAATTAGGTTCTCGCGAATTTAGTAAGATACTTACTAGAGATATATCTGGAGACCTAAAGATAAGATAGCGTAAATGAGCAATTTTTCTGTTTATCGTATGATTTCTCGAGGGCTTTGTGGTTATTTATGTTTTTATTTAGTTTTTTTTTCTATCGACGGTTTTTAACGAATTATTATTTTATTTAGTTTTTGTAAATTATATAGAGGAAGTACCGAAAAGGTGGATCATAAATTGTACCAAATATTCTACGGTAAAAATGAAGTCGATTGGACCCATATTTTAAGGTTATTCAGAGAGAGAGAGGTCCGTGAGAGATGGAGCTAGTTAGGGCAAGAAGTAGGCGGAATCAAATAAAAATATGTATAAAATACATACAAGGTGTTCATTATCTATGAAACATTGCATTTCTTCAAACGTAACTCACTTTGGTCTTTTGCTTTCTTTCTATTGGCTAATGCATTGTCCTATCTCTCATTGTCAATATACCCAAACTAGCTGCATCTCTCTCATTCATTGACAATAACATTAACCTCTTTGTCTAAACTGCGTCAATAGTTAGCAAAATACCATACAAAACAAGTTAAAACCTCTTTAAAGTGCTAATTGTCAAAATTGATAATCTATTTTTTTCAATAACTCCAAAAATATTTAATAAATTCAAATATAAGTAATCAACTTTAGAAAACATGGGTCATTTCAATTAATCTTACTTATTTCAAAAACGTTAAAATCAAAATTGTGTTTCGAACTTCAAAGATAATGTCAAAGTCACACAACTTATTTTTATCTTCTTTTTTTTGGTAATTTTAGAAAATTCTAGCTTTAAAAGCCGAACTTTAATTTCCAAAATATCATATTGATTTATTGTAATTCTCATTAGTTTCTGAATATTTTAATTTAATATTATACTTGTTTTAAATCACGTAGTTTTTCTATTGCATATAAAAAACAACTTATTCGCTAGAAAAAATCGATTAAAAAATTCCTAGAATAAACAAAACGTGCGATAATTTTTTTAATCGATAAGACGATAAGATGATTCGATCGTTTATTGCAAATACAGGTTTCGGAAATAAATAATTTATATATTTCGATTTATCTATCTTATTCTTGATTCACTTGTTGTTTTTTTGGCCAAGTAAATTATTTTATTATCTTTTATTATCAGATATTTGCGATCATAATGAAAATGATATAATCTTCTTTGTTTAAATTCAAACTAGATATGCAAGATGGAATCCATAATTGATATATAGGTTGCTCCATTTTTGATTGCAATATAGGTTATATAGGCCATGGGTGCGATAAAGACAACTTCCATTAGACACTTACAAAGGAAAAAGAAAGAGTGACATTGTGTCATTACAACTTTTCACTCTGATAACTGTCAATATGTCATTTTAATAATCTTTCTTTGTTCCACTCATAGAAATGACCATATTGCAATCGGAAATGGAACAAGGTGTATAAAATTAAATATGTATTAAATTATGACATTGCCAAAATGTAAAACTTTAATATCTCTAAATCATAGACCTATTAAGAGGGGCGTTGAGATTTGGTAACCCAATTTCAGTTGGCAGCAATGAAAATAAGCCCGATTTTTCGGTGTACAAATCTCAATTTTTACTTAATTTTGAGATATAATATGAATCGCAGCTGATAGAGTGAACCTTCGTGTAGGTCATAAAGGTTTTTTTTACAGATCTATGCAAAAATAACGAAATTACAAGCGTTTGAAGGTAGACATTTTTCAGTTTTTTTTTCTAACGGACGGTAACCAAAATCCTTTATGACCTAGCGATGGGTAATAGAAATGTATTGTGAAAATTTGGAAACGATATTCTTTATATTTTTTGAGATTTGTACACCGAAAAGTCTGGATTTTGGAAAAAACTTCATCGATTTGCCGCTAGGGGATACCGAAAATGATATTTTGGTAATGTAGGTTGCATACGCTCAAGTAGATATGAGCTTTAGGAAGATAAAATAAGGGTTATTTATGAATATACGATATATGTGCACTTCACAAAGCACACTGTTTTTATTATAATAAACAAATTTAGGAGAATTGAGGAAATTCAAGTGAAATTTATTGTAAGTGTCATTGCTGCCAACAAAATAGAGTATTTGACGTATTAGACATGACATAAGACATGATGTCATGTTGATTTTTAGGAGGTTATGTTTACATTACCATATTTACATTTATTAATTTTACAGAGTTACTACTTTGTAAATACTTATTAATTTGTAGTTGCAATATACAAACAATAACCAATTATGAAGATACGTTGTTATATTTGGATATCATGTAAAACAATTTGTAAAACAATATTCGAAGTTCGATAGAAGACCAGATTGAAATCAAAATTTATCACAGCCTGCTCTATTAGGTACATTTTTCATATTTATCATCGGCATACTAATTTAGTATTGTATTTTTTCTTTTCCATCTTTACGCTTATCGGATATGATATGGCTTACGTTCAATTCAACTATCTGCTAAATTTGTTGTATCTATAAGGAAAAGAATTCAAACATTTCATTTGTATAAATATGTTTATTTTAATACTACTTTAACAATTTATTACACCTAATGTTATAATCTTCATAACATTTCTTTGTTTTTACCTCTGGCATATTGGATTTTCTTCCCCTCGTATCACTAGAAAGATTGGAAATGTTCTCAGTTGAAAAAACAGTAGATATACAAGTTTCATCGGTCCACTTTTCTTCTTTCTTTTCTTCTTCTATCTTCTGAATATAATGTTTGATCGGACATCTCGTAGGGCAGGTTGATGATGAAATCGAGACATGAAAATTGTCCTGCATAGGACTTGGGTGAGGACCCCAGAGTGGCTGTACTATTTCAGAACTATTTCACTTACAATTTCATCGGAGGCACTGTCATCATCGGAGTGTGTGTTCAGAGTACATTGTTTCGGAGTACACAGGTCCCCAAAGACCCAAGTCCTACGACCGGTACGACCCCAGAGTGGCTGTACTAGAACTACTCCAAGTAGATTTCAATTTTGTCCAGATTATTATTTTCATTTGTTGAAAATAAATTTGGAATGGATGCTCCATTTGATTGTTTCTCTTCCTGATAATTTCTAATTGCCGCTTGGACATAAGGTGGGTCAATACATTTCAACCTATATATTTCAACCATTTCTACCTATACAATTTCTAATTATTTCAGGAGCAACACATTCCCTGTAAAATTGTTGTAATTTTGGTAACATAACGTTATTCCAAAATTCAACATCACTATAAATTTGTTCGATATACAAATTTATATGATCACCAACGTACACAACTAGGTTGCATGTGTTTCTGTTAGTGATGTTCAACTGGTCCAGTATCTACAAAAAAAATTAAATGATTGTATCTGCTATAAGATAACATGGTAAATTACATACCTGTTAGTAATAATTGTGATTAAAATGGCGAAAATAGAAAAAAAATTAACGTCGGATTTTCGAGTTATTTCTAATGGGGTGCTGGTAAATTAGTCGAAAACAGTTCTTCGAAAACAATTTTTCAAAACCAACAATTGTTCGAATGAACAATTATTCGAATTTTATTATTTTTTTTTAAATTACTAGGTCACAACTAAGAAAAATTAAATTTTTGCTCTGTCTTACGCATTGAAATATAAACATATTATTATTTATTTCATAAGATTTCAATGGTCTTATGAGATGTTGTCATATAAGTTTTGAGATTCTATTGTTAGAGTTAGAGAAAGTGGAAGTAGGGTTACTAGGGTTAGAAGTCGAAGACCTATATATACGACCTACGATTTGTAAAATTGTAAAAGTGTCGTATCTAAAAAATTAAAAAAAATAGACTCAAATTTTATTTGATCATAGTAAAAAACATTGGTATAACCCAGTTGAAATTAAAAAGAATATGGGCTACAGTATAGCATATCGATTCCAATTAATTTATGCATAATTTTATATAATTAAAAGATTCAAATTTACATCTAGTAAATCGAATAATTTACCTAGATCCCTAATAATGTATACTTTT